GGGGTCGCCTCCGCTTCCACGGCAGCGGCTCCAAGGCAGCCGTCCTGCTGACACAGGCACGCGTGTGCTTTCCTCAGCCGCCCCTTGTGCAGCTGGAACCAGCCCTTTTTGGGAGGTACAGAGGGGCTGGGGGTGCCAACAGCTCCTTCCTGGCTTCATCCACAGCAAGGTACACAGGGGTACTATTTACTGACATTGTCACTTCGCTTTTGCCAGCTCTGGTGGAACCTGGGCAAAGAGAGAAAGCAAAAAACTCAGGCCACACAAGGAACTGCTCTGATACAAACCAACAGGGCCGGACCGCAGGTACAGCGACAGCAGCTCGCCGCAGGGTACACCAACATCTGCACGTCAGCAATCCTTAAGTTATGAGGCCTGAAGGACCGCTGCAAAAATCCCTGCCAGATACAATAAGCGTTCACCGACGGCTCCAGGTTTATACGATACGGGTAAAAAACAGCTTTGCTGAGGTCAAACAAAACACAACTGAGATCCTCGGCCCTGGGCAGCTGCGCGAAACTTAACAAGCAAACATCGCCATGGTCCTAGAGCCTACACAAAGGGAGAACAAAACCCAAAACAAACACAAAAAGAGAAAGACAGAGGAGAAATGAAATTAAAGTGAAGCGAAAGCTTCTTGCTTTTAACGTATGCAAGTCTGGAGGCTTTTAACTGAGTAAAAGCACACTCATGCCCTGTCACCACGCACAGAATGAACTGGGCGGCTGATTTTGAGACCCTAATTAAAAAGGCTCCGACAGATCCGCCCAACTGGACAGACCCGCACAGGGCGTGAGACGCCCCAGGGCTCGCTCCCACTCCAGAGTCCCCACCTCCAGCGCTGCTCAACCCCAACCCTGTGCCGGCTCCAGACCCCGTCCTGCACACCCACCCGCACAAAGAATAACAGCATTGTCACCCTAGCAGCTTCCTCCCCCATTTTTTTTTTGTAAGGAATGACCTTTTAAAACAGCCCACCTGTCTAAAGAACCCTCTTTCCCGGTATTTGTCAAGGATATTTGAACAGATTTGACTGGAATGAATGTCATGCCTCCAACCGTCGCACTGAACTGCTCGTTCCCAGAGTTCCTATTTTTTTCTTGTTTAAAAAGCTATTTACCGAAACATTCATGAAATCCGCTTGGCAGCCGCAGGGCTCAAGCCTCACCGCACGCCCTGCGCGTGTTTTGCACCGGTGCCACTGAGGACAGCAGGAGCCTTCCTCATTTTAGTCGGGTTCGGGGGCCGAT